GGGTCCTCATTTTACCCACCTCGGAAGGATGGAAGGCTGAGTCAACCCTGAGCTGGTGAGATATGAACCGCTGAACTGCTGATCTAGCAGTAGCCTGCAGTGCTGCATTTAACCACTGCGCCACCTCGGCGCAGGACTTCAAGTCAGCTAACAGTTTATTTCTAACAGGTTGCCAAACACGTCACTTCACATTTTGCGTGTATTAGCTAATTGGCAACAGCTGAGCCCTGTTTGACAGCTCTTTATATACCCCAGCTGTCAAACAGGTAACCAATCAGTAACAAGGACACGCCCCCCCAGCCGAACGGACCAGAGAGGAAACTGTAGTACACAACAATCCTTCACACTTAGAATGCGCATGCGTAGTCTTTTAGATGGCTCGGCTGCCGCCGGACCTGCCCAGACTTTCTCAGGGCACCTTCCGCTGGTGGGACTGGAATAGTGCTGGCCCTGGCTGGAGACTTGGCCCTCTCCAAGTCTGTTGCCGCTGGAGACTCCCGGGGAACCACAGGTAAGTCTTTTGGTGGATTTTTAATTAATTTTTCTAGTTCCTCTAGGGAGATAGATCGGGGCCTCGTAGCCTGTTCCTGACTCTAGGTTTCCTGCCTGTTGGGTAGCCCTGTGACTGCTCTGCCAAATTGGTACCCACTAGTCTATTTCTTAGCTGGTTTATATGACACCTCCAAACCCTGCCGTCCTCTACCTCTACCAGGTCTGAGCATGGGCCTGTTATTTTCCGGACTATGCCAGGGAGCCATAGCGGATGGCCCGAGTAGTTTCTTGCATAGACTGGCGTGTCGATGGTGAACCCCTTGAGTTGACTGTTTGAGTCTAAAGGCCGATCTGGGGCGTATTCTGGGTGCAGTCTATCTAGTGTTGTCCTAATGCGCTGTCCCATTAAAAGCTCAGCCGGGCTATTGTTTGTAGTTGTACAAGGGGTGGCATGCTGCCATAATAAATACCTATCTATGTCCTGCCAGTTTAAGGGGCTGAACCTGGCTAGAGCCTCTTTCACTGAACGGACCGCGCATTCAGCCAGGCCATTAGCCGCTGGGTTGAACGGGGCTACAAATGCCTGACGGACCCCCAACTAGGCAAAGAACGAAGCCAGCACTGCGGCAGTAAACTGGGGCCCATTGTCAGAGACCACTAAGTCTGGTAACCCATGGGTTGCGAATACCCGGCGTAATACCTTAATGATGGCAGGGGCAGTTGTAGCAGACAATAAANTAAGATAACACACTGACCAAAACCATCCAAAGCTTAATTCCGCCGCTTATTACTTTTATTCTTAGATTTTAATTAGCTTTAAGGTTTTTTTTATAGGCAGGCTCTTTAAAACGGGTAAAAACTCCTCACCAGCTGTAAACACTTTCTCTTCCATTTCCTTCCATTTTGGAGCCGTCCCTACTTCATCAGCCTAGGGGCTGAGCTTTAAACGCCAGCTGAGAGACCTTCTCCTGCATCAATCAGGGACTTTGCGATGTCCCTGTGATCAGCAGAATGTAGTCTTCCTGTTCACCGTCTCTATGGGATGGTTTAGGTCTGATTGGACCACCCAGCAAAAAAAGTATTGGCGGCAATCTCAGAGCATCAAGATCGGGAGACCATTTCGTAGCGACATAGGCCCCTCCTGACCACCAGGATGTTTCTTTCCTGCCTTCCTTACAAGATTAACCCTGTAAAGTAGGAAAAAAAAACAAAAGGAGTTTTCTTCTAACAACCAGTTCTCCCAACTGTTTAGAAAATTAACTACCGGTTCTTGCGAATAGGCTAGAACTGGTTGAATCTCACCTCTGCTCTGTGCCTATTCTGTGAGGTATACAAAGGAACTGGCACAGGCAAGTGAGAAGGAATGAGTGTGCAGACATACCAAGGGGAAAGGGGACTTGAAGCAACAGACTTGGCAGCATGGTCAGCCAGGGCATTTCCCTGACCGTGTTTACTGTCATCCTTACCATGGGCACTTACCAGTGGTGGGTTGCTCCTGGTTTGACCCAGTTTGGCTGAACCAGTAGTAGCGGCGGCAGGAGGCCCTGCCCACCCACTTGGACATTTCTGTGCATGCGCAGAATCTTCTGTGTGCATACGTGAGAGAGCGCCCAAACCGGTAGTAAAAATATTTGCAACCCACCACTGGCCCTTACATGCATTATAGCTACCTTGCTGGGTAGAAGCAAAACAACAGTCAATAATCTGAATATTTCAGGTCCATATTTAACAGGGGTGCCTTGCGTGGTGAGCAACCCATGTTCCTTCCACAAGGCACCATGTACATGTACAACACCAAAAGCAAATTTACTATTTGTAAAAATATTAGCAACCACATCTTCCGATAACTCTAAGGCTCTGGTCAGGACAATGAGCTCAGCCTTTTGGGCTGAAGTTCCTACAGGGAGGGCTGCTGCTTCCAATATTTGGCCCAAAGTGACCACAGCATACCCAGCTAGCCTTTCTCCCTGGCACATGAAGCTGCCGCCATCTGTATACAGGTTCCTATCTGCATCCTCAAGTGGCTGGTCACCCAGATCCAGATGGCCAGAAAACACGTCAGCAATAGTTTGGACACAATCATGAGTAAGATCTTGTTCCAGTTAGGGAAGAAAGGTGGCTGGATTGACTCTGCCAGTCCGTTTTAAGTGTACATGCTGATTGTCAAGAAGGGCGATCTGATATCTCTTGAGGCGATTGGCCATAAGCAATTACCTCCCCCCCCGCCTATGACTCAATCAATTCCTGGAATGAATCAGGAGTCTCCACTATAATGGTGGTGCCAAAGTTTAATTCCTTGGCAGCTTCTAATAAAAGGACAATGGCTGCAGAGGCACACTGGCCATCCTTGAGCAACAGGGTTGAGTTGTTTGGAGAAAAATGCCACCAGGTGTTCCCAACTTCCAAGAGTCTGGGTTAGAATGCTAGCTGCCCCTCATTTGCTCTCTGCAATAAACAGTGTAAAGGGTTTTGTGACATCAGGAATTCCAAGGGCAGGGGCTTGCATTAAAGAGGTTTTAATATTATCAAACGCCCTCTGGCAGTTTTTTGTCCATTCAAAAGGGTCCCTATCAGAGCCTTTTGTAGGTTGATACAAGGGCTTTGCCATCAAAGGAAAATTGGGTATCCAAATGGGGCAAAACTCCATCATCCCCAAGAAGCCTCATAGCTGGCATTTAGTTGGTGGCAGTTTGAGAGGACAGCCTGGATCTACTCCTGTGACAGCTGCCTAGTACCCTGAGACAGAAATAACTGACCTTCTGCTGAACAAGGTGTGTTTTAGTACAAGAAGCCTTATAGCCCCAGCTGCATAGGGAATTCAACATGTAATTGTGGTGTTATTACACATATTTGTATTAGAGTGTGTTCCTTCATTTAGTTGTTCAGTATTTTTGTGTGCCATTCTAATAACAATCACAATATTATTTAAACATATATAGCCGTGATGGCGAAGCTATGGCACGCGTGCCACAGGTGACACTCAGAACCATTTGTCAGGGTACGTGAGGCTTGCCATGTCAGCTGTCCAGCTGACTTCGGCCTTCTTTTGAGACCATTTTTCGCCCTCCGGAGGCTTCCCTGAAAAACTGGCCCT